TAATGCAATCTAGATCGTAACGACTGGCTATGCATAATTAGACTGTTTTATTATGCGAAACTATGCTCCATAGGGCACTGTCGATCTTTTACATGAGCAGCTATAGCTTTTCTCTGATAATATCGTATATGAAAGTAAACAAAGAGAGATTTAAGACTGTCAGTTGAACAGGTAGTAGCCTATCTTTAGGCGTAACCTCCTGCATCCGATGTCTGACATCTGATAAGTATTGGAACTCAATCGGAGTTTCGATCAGCGTTTTTTACCAACAGAATGGAAAAGACCGAAGGGGGGAGTAGAGGTGTGCAGGATACGAGTTTTTGTAATCTGTACCCTACGATATCCTCGCTATTAGCTGTCACACCCTGTCACACCTTATCCTGTTGACTTCAAACAGTTCGCACCCGACACATAAGAAAGTAGGATTAAAATAGAGATCATTCATTCCACGATCGACGTTTGTTTTTCTAGCTACAGTTTTATTCAAAAACTCGACATCCGCATCCAATAACAACAGGCATGGAGTCTCTCTGATGGATAACGAAGTCATGCCCCACTAAAGGAGCGAACCTCTCTCAATACTAAGCGTTCTTTATCTCATAGGATACAGTCTATGGCAAAAGTCTCAATCGCTGCCCTACTCTGTAAAAAATTTTCGTACCCTTAAGCTGCTGTACTCTTATGGAACAGGATAGGGTAGGGTCATCCTGTACATCTCTAAGGGTGAGGGGGTATCCGTAATGGCTCTTGCAGCTTATTGTCTATAATTATTTTGTAGAAAAGACTTTTAACATGGAATTTATAAATCTACAGTAGCCGTTTTAAGTTTATTTAATCCAATGACAATGTATAATGTAAAGAAGAAAATAAAAGAGCTGCTTGGTTTAAAAAAAAATACATCAGCTGTTTATAAAATTGGTCAACTACTTGATACTGGAGACGATGATGGCCAAAATTATTTTCATTCTATATTAGCCGCATTTGAAACTTTCGATCAACAAAATCGAGATGAAGAAAATAAATGTTTTAGTGATGATGTTGATTTTATTATTGATTGTACATTATCTGCTATAGAAGATGGAAAATTTCAAAATTGTTGTGCATATTTTTATATTTATCGACGAACTGAAGAATATACAAAAATGTTGAAAAGTTCACAATGGTTGGCCAATTCAAATTTTGAGGAATTGAAAAAATGTTTATTAAGACAAAGTCATCGTTCATTTACACAAACAGAAGGTTTGGAACCAAATCTTTTTATACAAAATAAAAGTTTACTAGAAAGAATGAATATCAGACAATTTATATCACAAATGAAAGTGGAAGACGATCATACCTTAGAATTATTTTTCGCTCTAGGCAAACTAGCATTTCAAGTGTCATTAATTATTCATGAAGAACAACAGCATCAATTAAAATGGACAGAATTACTTAAAATGCCATCAAGATTAACTGTATCAGTTTTGCATTTTATTGAAAAATATTTAAAATATATAAGAGCATTCGAACAATTTCCGTTTGATGTAGAAGCATTTATTCATTCAGTACCTTTTGGTTCGAAATCAGCATTCCCACTAAAAACTATATATCATTTGGCTACTCAACTAAAATTAAATGTAAAAGAACTGTGGTTTGAATTTTTATCAATATTTAATATCCGTAGGGATTTGTATACAACCGATGATATAGCTGAATTTCTACGATATTTAAGTTGTTGTGATGATCATCTATTTGCACAATATTGTTTAAATTATTTTACTTGTGTTTCTGTTGAGAAGGGCTGGGAGGTATTAATATTACTTGGTGAACAGGAAGTCAATGAAAACATTTTGAGAGTTGTTTTATTCGATTTGAATAAACAAATTGAACAATTATTTATCAATAGATTTAATATGTTGATGAGAATAGCTTTAGATCGATTACAAAAAATGAATGAAAAAAACCGTACAAATTTTAATAAATTGTTGAACACAGTATTTGATAATTATGTTATTAAACGAATATCAATAAATTGCTCAGAATCAGAATGGAAATTAAAAGATTTACTAACAATTGCAAATCGATTTTTATCAGACAATGATTTTATTCATCAACAATCGTCCTATTTCTTAACAATTGTCGAATATTTAATTAAAGCGTGTTCTTCTAATCAAGATCATGATACGTCAACTAAAATAGTTAAATTATTTAAAGTTTTAAGAAAACTTCATGAAAGTATTTGGCAACAAATTGATCCATCACAAATAATTAATGATGACTGGTTAATAAATTCTGTTTTATCAATGCCATACAGTTGGACTAACATGTCACCATCCACTTATGATAACATTTGTAATAAGAATCGTGAGACTAATAGATGGATTTTATTTATTTGGAATCGATTAATCGATTTAAGTTTAATAAAATTTAAATGGGAAAATACGCATGAAATATTAACAGCATTTAATCGGTGGTTACGTCAAGTGAACCATCATCAATACAATGTTGAAAATGTATTCACTATTGCATTAATAACAAAGTTATTTAATACAGCTGCTAGCTATTTAAAGCCACTCGAATTGCCAGATATAGAACATATTATTGATTATATTTTACATGTTAAACAAGACCGATCAATAATCAATATCAATGCTTTTTTTAACAATGGTCGTCATATAATTGAAGAAATTATTTCACTGAGAGGTTAGTAGTACTTGCTTTATAATTTCATATGAAAGATACTTTTCCTTTTTATTAAATATCTCCATAAGAGACATGCATTTCGCAACGAAAACATTTATGAATGAATCATATTCTACGTCTTCAGCAAATATCTTTCCATTTTTACATACTATATCGGATCAAAATAGTAGGACTCAGGAAACTGTTCACTAAAACTTTTCCAATTATTTTTACTGTTTTACCATATTTTTTGGCGGTTTTTCATCAGCTGAGAAAGCTTTTTAGCCGACTGACCCGTAAGATTTATAGTAGGTCACTAATCAGTCTCTGAATAATAGGCACAGAATAGTAATGTCCCAGTATCGACTTTGTGAGGTCGGAAAACAATCGACGACATAAACGACAGTTTGAAAAAATAATCAAAAAACCCTTACGATTCTTTTCGGAGCAACATGGACAATAAATTGTTCCATGGAGTCGGCTAAATCTTCTAAATATCAGAACATGCTCGTCAGGTATTCACAGCCACAGCCATCTTGTCGACAGGCCCGCAGGCTGCCAGATGACCAATGGAAACGGTGTTTTTGAGTATCTGGCTCTAAATTCACTTCGGTATCGGTTCCAACATCATTGTAACGCTATGTACGCAGACTCATGTCAGAGATGTAACCGGTCAACAAAATCATGACCGATACCGGCCGGTCACCGGTGACCGGCGATCATGTGGCGACCGGGCCAGTCGGTTGACCGGCCATTTTTCTAAAAGTTTTGACCGGTAAGGGACCGATACTTACATTTCTCAAGAACTCTTTCGGGATAGTAAGTGCTATAAGAACAGTGAGTCTTTTGCATTTCTTCTCATTTGGAATAAATAATTTTCCGTATGTTTTATATGTTATTAGGCGTATCTGGTGCGCGGTAATTCATTTTATTTCTCTATCATCTATATTTATTATGTTTCATTTGAAATTCCATAATATGGAATTTATTAATCCCTGTATTACACACACATTATTATTCAGTTTTCGAAAATTGCTCATCATTAGACCACATGTTATTCACATAAGTTTCACGAAGAACAATTAGAAATTCGTATAGATGTATAGGCCGGAAAAGTGTGAATATTTAAAACAGAGAATAATGAATGAAATTATTATCTTTCTTTAAGCAGTAGAAAATGATACTAAATCTGCTTTTTTCTGTCATATTTTCTACTCATAAGCCAACCCGACCGGGCCCGGTTCAGCAGTTTGACCGGAACCGGTTGATAAGTTTCGATCGGACTGGATCGGGCGTCCGATCGCCCGGTCAGGTTGCATCTCTGCTTCATGTCACGTTAAGGAGATTTTCTCTTGACAGCTTCCACCCCGTCCATTTTCATTTTACGGAAGGAAGGAGGCCTTAAACAAGTCATTTAGTTGCTCTTGCAGGCAATATCTTACGAGTACGATAAAACTAGGAAAAGTTATTCTCCATGAACCTTTTTTATGCGATTTGGTGTTTTGTACGTGTTTCTTCAAGGACCATACAATGCACTATATCAAAATTTGTCGACTTTCTCCTTTACGTAGAAAATGTGTAGAATTGTGTGGATGTATCCTCATCTTTCATACCAAACTCTTTTCCGATGCGTTTGTCCTACGATTCACGATGAGAAGCACAAGAAAATACACTGAATGGCCGTCTGTTGTTATTGTGAAACAACTAGAAACATATATTACCGTATAACAGAGAGAAAACATTTTTTTCCTTAATCTCAATATGTTTTTCCAGAATTCATTTATGATATAACTAGACAGACAGGTCTGAAAAAGTCCGGCGATGAGTCACTTAACAGAATTTCTAACAATTTGAAATTTCAAAAGTCGATAGAACAACGAAAACTCGATTTCGATTTCGTTCTGAACGAAATATTATCGGCTACTAAGGCTAAAGGTTACTAGTCCACAATATCTACTATCAGCATACAATGTTATTTGGTCCTCATCAAAGGAGTATGGAAGTTTTTAAAAAAATTTTCTGTAAACCTTGAAAAGCTGACTTTTCGACAAACTTTAATAACAATATTTTTAATAACAAAAGAAAATAGAATAAACGTTTATAATCAGGAGTTATGAGAGTTTTACCGAAAATCCTAAAACATGCATCAGATACTAGCACCACGACATCTCGAAAGCAACTTTCACCCTAACACCATTTCATAGCCGCAAGGTTTCTCGGTAACGAAATATTGCAGAGAGTTCCAGAAGGTCTTACATTGAAGCTAACACATATGGCTAAAGTGTGATTCAGCCCAACTCTTGATATTCGGTCTAGATTTGTGGTCAGAAAAATATCTTTATGCAAGTTAGTAAGATTTTCGCGAACTTTGGACTTTTGAAGCTAACCATTAATTTGGGAAAGAAAATAGCAAAAATTCAGCTACATGTGTTTTTGCCAAATTAAGATCAGTCCGAGCTCTCCAAAACCTTTCGTTACTGAGAAATCTTGCAGCCACAAATAGCCCCATTTTGGTCACCATTGTGGCGACATCTCACAAATGGATGTGATGCACGATGGATCCAAACAAAAAATTTCGTCATCATACTTTCACAAGGTCAGAATCTCCTAAAAGTTTGGTCAAGATCGGACTTATAATTTCAAAAATAGGTTTCCGGGCGGACCAGGAAAGGCATTAAAATGTTTTTCTCTTGCGAGATAATGATTTCACTGATTTAATTTAATTCTATATATTTATTTATTTTTACAGGAACACGAACAATGTATAACCGTATGTGGGGTTCAACAGTACAGATCAATCGTTTAAATTACTTTCTTAATGATATAGATTTGACAAAAACATTATTATCTAATGAACAATCGCAATACAGATTTCTAGAACTTAATCCAATGATCAGTTTAATAATGAGTGACACACCACAACCGGAAAATATCAATGTTCAACCAGATAATATTTTTCAGTTTATCGACCAAACAAGTATTTGGTTTAAATGGCTGAATAAATTTATTGATAAATTTCTTCCTATTGTTGAATGGTTAATATCTTATAATCCTAATGATGCCAATCACTTATTATATATTATAAAAGAAGCACAGAGTCAAGATGCACAATTGTTATTTGTTTATTTAACTGTTGAAAAAATAATTAAATTTCTAAAACCATTTGCACAATTACCTCGTATTTGTCATTTATTTTCTGGTTTATCATCGATTAATATTACACAACAGGGTGAAATAAATAACAAAATAAAAGCAAAAGATTTTATTCGAGAATTGAGACAAAATTTTTCACAAAACACATTTACTGTTGATTCAAATAAATTGGGTGACAACTTTGTGCAAATGGTAAAAGATCGTCAAGTCGTTCAATGGTCATTAGCTTGTGAAAAAGCAGCTTGTCATGTTGAGATAATATTGAATGATGAAATTATATGTAAAAATGAAAAAGCTCAAATTGATTTACATGTGATATCAGGTGAATTTGAAGTAGAAAAAGGTGGCAGTTTAAGAATCAAAATAGATAACTCAAATAGTAAAAGTTCAAGAATTTTATGGTATCGAATAAAAACATTTAATTTATCATCATGTTTTCTATTTGTTGGTATATTCAATATGTTTTATAAAAATTATTTTAATAAAGCTCAACCATGGGCAAATCAAATTAACAAAATAGAACAACAAGTATTTAAATTTATTGATAAATTATTCACTGGTGATGTTAGTCTAAGAGAAATGTCTGATTTAAAAGCAATATTTTATAATAACAATATAAATATAAAAAATGAAGCCAAAAAACTATTTTCATTTAGTGCTACAAATGAAAAAGATATGGCCGATGAACAAAAAATTGATCAAGTATGCGAATGGTTACAAATATATCAATGTCTGAGCCATTTAACAACAATTACGCAATGTATGCAAATGTTTGCCATTATTAGTGATGATGATAATAATCGTTTAAAAACGTTAGTTGATGATAATGATAATAGTCGTTTAAAAGATATTGCCGAATCATATAAAATATTGACACAACAATTTCGTGGTTTAAATAGTGGACATTTAGAACTAATTAAATTAGTTACATTAGAATGTTCAGCAGTTATTCAAATGTTAGAAAAATATAATTTATATTCAAACAATGGTCGACGACGATTTCAAGGATTAAGAGATAATTTAACGACTATGTTTCAATTACAAGAAAAAAATAATATGATATTAAATGCACTAATCATGTCGGTATCAATATGTGAACCATTTATATTGAAAGCGAAAAATTTAGAAGAATTTGTTCAAAAATTATCCAAATTACATAATCTTGATGAATCGTTACAACAGCTACGTAAGTATACATATTATTTTTTCGATTTTGTAACTATGTCTGGCGGACAGAAATTAACTGTATACTGAATTTGTCGACTCGTTCTGATGTTTTTTGAGTGAATTATGAATTGTTTGATAATAGGTGAAAACAGGTAGAAAACTCTAATTTTTGAAAAACTTGGTTTACGAATCGTTTTTTTAAGATCAAATAGTGCCATGAAATTCAACATAGTGGAAACTTATGTTTTCATGCATTGCCGAGATTCATTGACTGAAATGAAGAACCGTCCTAGAGTTCCAGGAAAACTTCGCGCGTAACCATGAGAGATGAAGCTCTCATAAACGTTCTGTTTTATGGAAGACACTTTAATCTATATATTCATGAAAAAGACAATATATTGCTATGTTGAATTTTCCAGTCAGGAAACGGTTTTCCAGAGATCTCCCCGCATACGAAGCTGTGAGTTGCGCGCTCCACGAAAAAAAAATGGCTAATACACTAACTAGTCTTTTCTGTGGTACGAGCATTGTCAGTGTCAATGTCTCGAATGTGATGATGGCGCTTTTCGAAAATAATTTTTAACTCTTAAGTGTAATATTCAAATAAAAGAAGACTCGTATCGCTTCTTTTAGTCTTCTTATAAGTTTCAGTGTTGCACGGACGAATAGGAATCTTTGTTTGCTTCGCTCTCCTCACTGATCTGCTCGGAATCCTTTGAGTTTAAAAGAATTTAACCTTGTTTCACGGAATCCATCCTACTCTGTCTATTTTTAAAAATTTTCTCTTTGCAGAGGGTGCTTCTTCTTTTGTTGAACTTTGGTAAGTCCTAATAAGTACCTAACTAATTCTAGTATAATAGCGATAAACTTAAACTTGGTTAGACGGGAGTGTAAGATCTGCTATCGTGAGCCTTTTGTTCTCCTAAGGAAATCACTCCAACCAAATCTCTATTTCTTCTTATTTCCTTGCTTTTATCAAATTCCTTCTGAAGCCTGTAAGTCCAGCGGGCGTGATGTAATTCTAACTGAGATCCCCCCTATAAAAAAATATTATTAGAGCAGGATCTGCTAACAAGCCTGCCATTCAATTCCAGCAGGCAAAATTCTCACGAGTAGACCTGTGCAGGTCTGTAGGTAACATCGTGGAAAAATTGCGGCAGATACTATCGTATACCATAGCTGCATTCTCTGCAGAGGTATGTGACAGTGTCTATCACAGTTCTTCCAAGGTCTGCCATAATTGTTGGATAATGTTGGACACAATGAGTTATGGGAATGAAAAAATGTTTTGTCTCCAAGTCTTACGGTTTAGGAGTTAGGAGTCAAGCTGGAGAGTTCGGATTTATTTTATTTTAAATTAGACACTTAACTGTATGGATTGACCAGCGCCGATTTTTCAATTAAGCCTTTATTGGTTTTCCAGGCAACCAAGAACCTTCAAAGCCCGAAAAATCCTCAGTTTGGCAAAAAGCTAAGGTCTAATTCAAAATTCGACGCCGGCCAGTCTATGTAGTTTCTTTTCCTCTTTTGAACAAAAAAAGCATGAGCTCTCTACGACAAACCGCTATTAAAAATCTTGGGACGCCCTTCGGGTGTAACTCTTATATAGTGAAAACGCTGTATTAAACGCCGTATGAAATACTCGATTTTAGGACTTCTAGGAAAATTCCTGTAACTTTTTGATACATATAGAGTTGTGCGAGGTCTTATTTTGATCAGAAACATCTGCTCTACAAATCTGTGTGTTCAGAAAAATTTTAACTGCATAAGTATTCAGGAAAAAACTATTATCTGAAGACCCGATTTTTCGAGGGTCTTTGAAAAGCTGCTCAAAATCCCCGAAAAAACAGCTTTGTAACCAAAAGCAATACAGATTCTGGAAGCAGACACTTCAGGCCATCTTTCCATATGCGTATCTCAAAATCGATGTTTTGACCAAAAATTAGCATTTCTGAGGGGAGGATTCTTAAGTATACGTTATCTTTGACCGAGTCAAGTTGTTCGTCTCACGTTAAGCTACGGCTTGTAAAAGCAGAAAAGATCCAGTAAACCTTTTTGTGATATTTCGCGCTGAAGCAGTATATTTTTAATCTATTGTTTAGATGTTTTCTCTGTAATAATATCTCTATTAGCTACTAAGACTGTCCTGAGTAGTTTTGTTTTCTACGTTACAACGATAGGGTCGTGATGTATGTTGTGTTATGAAGTATCTCTTAAGACAGTTGTCAGTGATTTCGTTTATTTTTAGGCATTGTGAATGACAATATACAATTGGTAAATATGTGGCTGTCAATGGATGAAAGTACAACATTGGACAATGCTCTCATAACGATGGAACATCTTTATAAAACTGGCACAGTTCATATTTACTTGCAACGATTGATAAACCAACAGTCCCGTGTTGAAATTAAATATTATATTGAAAAAAGGCGAAATACGAATCCAAACGATGATAACAATGTTGATGGGAAACAAGAGAAAAATGAAGAAAAACTGGAAGTCATAATGACAATGTCAGATATATATGAGCACAAACGCCAATTGACGTTCTCCAATGTTGATTTAACTGATAATATGTTACACAAAAGATTGTTATTAAATGAACAATTGAAAGTACTGAATGTTGTGGAAAAAATCTATTCAATTTTATCAAAAGCAGAAACATCTGGTCATCCTGTATATCAGTTGAAAAATGAAAAATATGAGATCTATGATCGAACAGGTAAATTTCTCATTCTTAAAAAGGAGCAAAGCGACTCATACTGCAGGTTTGATCACACTATCATTTATCACCGGATTGAATTTCTAAAATGCCAGTTTAGAAAAATATGAACATTTTCGAAATCTGATAGCTTTTTGCTAGAGAAGCATCTCCGAGAATTGTTACATATTCGGAATCTGTACACTCGATTACGTTGTACACCGCGAAAATCTCGACGATGTCCTATATTTTTTAGGTCCGAATAGGGGTCCGCATTTAGTTTTCACGGTGTCTTACACTATATTCATCCGTAGACATAGAGAATATCAATAACTGCACGATGTGCCTCAACGTAAAACAGATTTTCTTTATACAAGTAGTGTGAATGAGTTTGTCAATTTAAATTGTAACTTTTCTTGAGAAACACCTATTTATCAGCACATTTACCCGTATCTCATTCATCACTAATTGAGATGTCAGTACCAGCGTCTATTACTTAGAAATAATAAAATTATGATCATCATGCCTACTGTTCAACACATGTCACTATGAAACTTATTCTAATATACTACTGTAACAACCCTATTAGAGGCATATGTAGTTACCTTGATTCGTCAATTAGACCAATTTAATTAAGAACCATAGGTCTCTAGGAGACTTGTGCTAATTAATTAAGAAAATTTTTCTCTGAGTGCCATGTTAAACTTTTTATGAAACTTTTTACAAGTTTCATCAATGTGTGCTTTAGGAAACTGGATTTATGAAGATAGGATATATCCCCTATATATAACCATATCCTTCGAATGTTAGCCAACAAAAAAATACGAGCAATTCAAGCTCTTAAAAAGGCATTAATAGCGTACGTATCATGATGCTCCTGTGTAACTGAACGATATAATTTTTTGGATCTTGTACCAATTTCTATCATAAACTTGTAATATTTTTCCGCAGAAAACCAGCAGTAGTTTCCCACCTGTTTTAAATTGTTTTTCAAGGGTTCATAATCATTTCGACAAATCCGTCTAGTCGTATACACATATTCTAGCGTTTATTTTTTTGTGTAGGTAAACTTAATTCAATCTTAACAAAATTACAGATTAATGATCCGTCGGCAACGAATCAACAATTAGAATTATGTCTTAGAGCTCGTACGGAAAATTTATCATCCATATGTCGGGCTTTAGAAATAATGCAAGAAACTTGGTTGAATGTATTAGAACAACATCGTAATGAATGTCAATGGTTAAAACTTTATTCAAATCGTCAGATAATGATACTATTAATATTGCTTTCATCGTCATCGACGCAAAATCAGATAAAAACAAATTTTTTGAACAATTTATATAACAATAAAAGTTCGAAATCGATAAATGAACAAACTATACTAAGCTTAACTATTGAATATTTAAAACATTATTTGAATTCATTAAGAATAGCTAATTGTGATTTATCGACAAATAATTTATTACATCTATTAAAAGAGAATTCTTCACAACATAATAACGATGATGTGGAACAATGTTTGTCTCAACTTAGCCACTTTTTAAATAAAATATTTCACAATTGTAAGCAGTTAGTGCTACCACCAATCACATCTAAGAAAAATCAAGCTATTACAACGACTAATGATTGGCAACAACAGGAAAATCAACAATATTTGGTCAAATTATGCACTGTAACAACGGCTACAACAAGAACGACATATGATTTTGATATGGAAACATTGTGTACATTATTGAGTATTTTCAATGATGAACTACCTTCTGCTCATCAAATATTATGGTGCTCGATAGCAACTGAAGATGACATTCAACTATTTTTCTCAAGAATTCGAACCTATGCACATTTGAAATTTGTTCTTCTCGATATTGACAAAATGAATCATCGTCTACGTGAACTGTTATTTACTGAGCATGTTTCATTGGCTAATCAGACAGATGTGTCTCATGGTGAAGTCTATTATTTTTCTAGAGAATTAACATGCAGAAGAGGAATGAAACCATGGATGCCTTCACGAAATTTAAATGCAAATGTTATTCGTTCACAACTGATTACAAATTGCAAACAGTTGAATTATACACCACCACCAATTCACATTGTTCTTGGGACAGCAGGAATTGGTAATTGTTTTCCTTGTTTAAAGCTTCGTTATTTAGATCTGTAGAATTAACACGTTTTAATCTGAGTCCAAAAAAACTCAAACGAGAACGTAGACCGTCCCGTAATGCTGTACTTTTGCTTCAAAATAAGAAAGATAATTCTTTTTAAAACAAAATGTTAACAAATTCCCTTTATTTCCGATCATAAATTTGTGTAGAACTGCTTGAAGCTGACAATCACGACCGAAGTACATGATCCGTGGAAAACACTACGGAAAAACCATTTCTGCTTTTTGAAAAAGAAAGAAGGTCAGTGTAGTGAGAAGGCCTAGATCTGGACTTTCCTTAGGGAAGAACAAAATAGAGTGTAAACAATTGTGACGTACAATACAGCTTCTCCGGCTAGTCCTCATGGCTTTTCGGAAAGGTAGTACGTGGTTACTGAAGTGTGTATAGGAAGTTCAAGTAATTGGGCGAAAGAACTCTGCTTTAGGCCAGCCTTCGGGCCAGAGCTGTAGTTGATGATTAGTAGCAAGGTGGGTGACCATTTCAGAAAACTTTAAGCACGAATACTTTCGTTATTCTTCACGAACAGATAACCATAGCATCCTCGTTAAGATAGAAGTTAAGCGAAACTTCAGAATGTAGCAAGTTTTGTCCGTTTAACATGATTATACGACCGAAAAGATTGAAAAGCATGGCTTTAATCAAAGTTTTCCAGAAATCCTCTCGAAAACCATAGAATTTTGAAAATTAACGTAAGTGATTTTCTTATCAATAGAGTACAGAATAGCCTAAATAGTGCACATGCTGGAGTTTCCAAGCCGTTCTGATGTTTTTCAAGTACATGGTGAATTTTTCAATATTAAGGGAACAGTCTAGAAAGCCCAAATTCGATAAAACTCAGTTTACACTCGGTTTTTTAATTATTTTCCCAAAACAAACATTGTCAATAGATGCAGCGTAGTTGGTTACATATGTTCAATCGAGTTTCAAGACTACCTGAAGCCACTAAGCACGAGCCATGGGGCTCCAAGGAAACCAGATACCAGGTCCGAACAACTGGTTGAAAACAAGATCTCGGTTGAAAGAGTATACTGTGGGTTATCTGTTCAGGGAGGAATACGAAAGTATTCTTACTTGAAGTTTTTTTACTATGAGTTGGTTCTCTAGAGATCGCCTCAAAAATATACTGTAAAAAATATTTGCGAATTAATACCTGTTAATAAAACGTACCCCAAAGTCTCTTCTATGGAATGATGGAAACCCGAACTCTACGACACTTTGTTGTCGATCTATTCGAAAAAATGGTCAGGGGCGTTATATTTTGAAACGAATTTGTCGCAGTTCAATAGTTCTACTTTTCGACTGACAGCTTTCGACACTGTCGAATTTCGTGCGACAAATTTCAAACGACTAGAAATTCGACAGATTTTTTCGCTTCACTTCTCTACTAGAGAAGCAAAAGCGTAAACACGTAGAGATATAGACAATCCTTACGTTTTTACGTCACCATTTTACTATGTCTCTAGGAAAAAAACCATCAATAACAATCGGGGCTTGGTGGCTGGACATTGAACGCGGTCTGGTGACTCACTCGCATGCCTTCTGCCCCCCTCCTGCGCTTTTACGTCATTACTCTTTTATGTCTTTCTGAAATTTTTCAATGGAAATTCGACAGTTCGACAGTGTCGAATTTTTAGTCTGTCGAAAATTTCTCACTCGAAATTCGACACTGTCCACCTGCGAAATTACCTTTTGAAACGGATTATAGATACCTGCAGTCTCCACTAAAGGAGGTGACACAATAGACGACCCGGATCTTCTATTGTGTCTCTTAGAATACAGATTTTAGAGGGAGGGCGGTTAGAATACACCAAAGTGTAAGTTCGATTTGTCTACAAAGATGTGGCAGCAACATCGATGAAGTTTCATACTATTCTACTTTTCGTCGCTTTCATGCTGAAATTCTACAAAATGTACTGGATTCTACATACATAAGTAGATCTTGCTTGGAACAGCTTATTAAGTGGCTCACTTTCATGTAGTATAATGTCAATCCACTACTAGCTTATAGTTACACTATATCAGTGTATTCCTGCAGTACATTTCATCTTACACTTTTTTGTGTGTATTCTAACCGCTCTGTTTAGGGGGGTCCTCTACTGTGCCCAAAAAAGGAAGCTGTTTTTTAAGCTCATGCTTTGAGCAAATTTGAATGTTATCTCAGTTAATGCAGAGTATTACGAGTCAGTGAGACAAACAGTTGTGACAGAATGCGCGGATAGTACTCAGTCACCGCGCATGTTTTTCTTTCATTCGACTCACACATTTCTTGTCACATGTATTGTGCTTTTTATAGCAGCTAACAAACGAAAAAAAAAGATACATTTTTATCATCTTATTACATGCGCAGGATGACTCTTTCTTGATTAGTGTACATGTGCATACATTTTCCATTCGACTCTTTCTCGCTTCTCCATGCGCACATTTATGTGTGCTCACTGGAAAAGAGAATTTTTATTTTCAATATGAAATATTTATTATGAATTTTGCAAGGCTTACAAGTAAAAAACTGAAAAATAGGAGTCTTCTATTTCAACTTTTACAAGATGAGCTCAAGAGGGGTCTTCTATTTAGGAGGGGGAGGGGTCTTGTAATGTTTCTACTCCTTTACTCTGTACTCTCCACTTCAAATACTATCCATGTCCAAGTTTATTGACTTAAGATTTTTGCTAAAACTATCCTCTCACACTTGAGAGTTCCATATTTCACGATATTGTATTTGTTTAATGTTTTAGGCAAAACTCATCGTATTTTTACCAAGTATAAAACGGAAAATCCAATCTGTATTAGTATAAACGATAAAATTAATTTATCAACATTAATAGCAACATTTTTATCATTAAATAGCGTCATTAGAAATAATACAGATAAAATTCAAACGGTTTATTTCAATATATCTATTAATGCACCATTTGCAGAATTGAATCGTTTTTTATTTGGATTATTTATATCTGGAACATTAATTGATTTGTCCAGCGGCCTCACATTTTCATTAACAGACAGTAAAAGATGGCAATTCATTATAGAAGTACCGTATTTAGAAAAATTAAATACAAAAGTTGAAGAAAATTTTGATTATTTGCTTCCATTATTATCAATATGTCCACATAGTTCTGAAGAGGTAACAGCAAAAAATTATGAATTATTTATCGGTGATAATGAAGAATTGATTGCACGCTTTTTAAAAGCCTTTGATGATAAATCAATTGATCGTACATTAACAATAAACATGGTTGATGGAACTGAAATACCAGTAGAATTTCCTCGCTTGCAAGATGATGTTCAATGTCGTTTTCATATACATCGAATGTTGGATCATTATGCACCAGAAATTAGACAAAATAAAATATTTGAATTATCATTTACAAAATTCTTGTATCGTCGAATTCGCTTCTTTACGGGCCCATATTATACATTGAATCAAATAATCAGTAATTTGGGCTCAATAGTTATGGAACAAATGATTGAAGAATCTAAAAATCTTGTTAAGATTGATTTTTCAAATGAACATTTTCCTAAAGTTTATCTTGTCTATGATTCTGGTTTTTCATTACAATTATTACATACTAAATGGGAGGATGTACCGCACGAATTGAAACGTCTAATGAAGAAGAAAGATCGTTTAAAGGATCTAGAATTTAAGAATAGAGATCCGTTTATACGATGTTTATCGTGGTTAATTAATATACCTTATTCAGAATTCGAATCAATAATCAATGAAACAAAATTTGTGTTAACCGAAAGTTTTGCATATAAACTTTTTCATGTTCATGAGAGGAAATTAACAAAACTGCCACTCATTATTGAAGGAGACACAGGTACCAATAATATAAAGCTTTCTATTTTATGATAAAAGTTATGCTTGTGATGAATCAAATTATTTTTACATAAGGAATAAGATACCGGAAATTTAAAACTTGAACAGGAATTTGTTTTTCGTTCTTTTTATCATCGTTGGATAGAGTGCATTCAGTTCTGTAGAACGGACGCTTTTCTGAAGTTTTGAATGTGATTTTTGGGTGAAAATATTTAAAAATATTGAGTTTAGAGAGAAAAACGAGTGAATTTTTCCAAAAAAAAAACAAAATTCGCCCTTTAGTCCTTTTTTAAAAACTTCCAAAATAGCTTTTTTAATTCAACATGCAAAACAGAGTTTTAAACGCCTATTTTGACAATTTGAAACTCAAGAATGTTTTTGGAATTATCGAGCCCCGAGCAGAATCGATAAAACGCGCCTATCTAACGCAAACCTTCTAAACCTGATCGAGAGATTTTGCGAAACTGAGTGTCTCAGAATGTTTCGGAGCATCCCCTGACATGATTTCAATGCAGAAAATTCGAAAATGTTTTGAGCCAGAAAAGGGTCTTATCCACCGTACTCCTTTTTGTATGAAATAAATGACGTTTTCTCATCTGTATTTCTATCTAGGTGTCGGCAAAACATTTTTACTAAAATTTTATTCAATGTTATTAAATTCAAAATTGAAATTTGATCGTGAACTTGATATAGCACCACGAATATTAGAAAAAACAAGTTTGTGGCTGTATTGTAATATTCTTAAGAAAACAATTGAGCCTGAAGGTGTTTTATTAGAAGAGTTTTTAAAAAAGATAAAACCAATATTAGAAAATCAACATCATAATCCTGTAGAGAATGATGATGATAACGAATGGAAATCGGACAATGATGATCTCCACGATCGTTTATTTTTACATCGTATTCAACCACAACAACCATTAACAACCGTATCATCTTTTATTCTACCAAAAGAATCAATGGATACTGAATTATTAGAAGAAATAAAATTTTCATTACTAAATGGCACTTATACCTTTAAAATATTAAGACAAATATGGAAAACATTAATGACAATTGCCAATATTCATAATGAAATGTATGAACAAAGACTTATTATCGAATTAAATGATTATATTAAATCTCAATTGCAAACATTACATTTATTGGATCCAAGCGTTCATTTACCACAACTACTCAAGGAAACAAAATTACAACCTATGGTAAGATCTATCAAATTATTTAATGAATATACATATACACAAGCAAAGCCATTGTTTTATCGTCTATTACTGCATCCCGGTGTGACAGAAGAACAGTTGAAAGATTTTATGGTAAGTAACAGTATGAACGTGTAAAAAATGCTTGATTCCTGTTGTTCTGCTCGCTCGCCATCTACAACAAGAAATCATGCGATCGCACTAGGGTAGGAGTGGCACTTCATTAGCGCAAAATCGACTTTTTATACGGAAGACAGAATCGGTTCAAATTTTTTTTTTGAAGAGCTTATTATATGAATCGACGGTCAGCAAAGTATCTCTTGATTCAAATCACTTTTCGCATTTTGGCGCGAATAGTGGCGCCAC